AGAGTAAGGGGAGGAATGGAGGATGGGGGCACAGATTGAGTTTGAGCTCAGGGCGGGTGGCGGTAGCACTGGGAGGGGACTACGGGGTGGGGGGGATGCTGCAAATTTTGGGGTGGCTATAGCCACCCCTCACAGCCCCCTCCCAGCCCAGCCCATCCTTCCCCGTGCCAGGAAGAGCCCAGCACAGCCCCCAGCCCACCCTTGCCCTGCACGCAGATCTGGGGGCACATGCCCTTCTGGTTTGCGCGCAAGACGGGAGCTGCCCTGCCCCCTGGAAAAGCCACTTGCAGCTGTCTTGTACCCTGCCCTGCGCCAGCTGAGCAATGCCTGCCCTGGCTCTGCTCCCCTTAGTGCGGGGGGCCTCAACCTGCCCCCCCCCCACGCCCCTTCCCCCACAACCAATTTACCAGCCCAACGCTGGTCTCCAAGCTGACTGGCTACATATTGGAATCGGATTGGTATTGGCCAATATGGCTCCCTTAAATTAAGGTAATTGTTACAATATGGCTCCTTAAACTTAGGTCATTGGTACCAGCCCCAAAAAATCTATTGGTGCACTGCTAAATGCCACTTGCTGTCTTTGACCAGAACAGTGGTTCTCAGCCTTTTTCAACTCACAGCATCTCTTGTTGGACTCAAGACACCCCTTGAAAAATACCAGTTCTTAGTTTTCACTCATTTTTTGACTATAGAAAAATAAGAGTGCAATTCTTCGGTTGCAAATAATTCATTAAGATGATAACAGGTCAGAATGTTTTTGACAGTGAATCCCTATATGACATTTTTAAAGTTTTATCTTGTGAATTGTGTGTAGGTGTCTGTACACCTAACAGTGCTAATATTGTGTGGCACCTTGCAGCACCCTTAAAAGGATCTCATAGCGCCCTCGCTGAGAACTACTGATCCAGAGCCATGTGGAGTATCCTTTCTCTGCAGATGTTTTTTATATTTAATCTTTTCCCTTGCTGTAGCTGTTATTTTCTCCTATAGTCCACTTGCAAACTTTAGTAGTGAGGTCCATCTTTTTATCTATTTTCCTAGATTTTTCTTGTATTTCTGGTGTGAGGACTTGCTGTGTCAGTCAATAATTCCAATGGATTTTTCTGCTTCACTCCCATGCATGGATGGTAAAGCCTCTTCTGGAGATTTTGCACTAGTCATATAGCTCTACTTGCTTGCACTTTAGAGGTTTCTGTAGGGCTGTCTTTGGCATCTTAAAATTCTTCTGGCATCTAAGCTCTGCTAGTTATGTAATAGTTACAAGGGCTGTCACAGAATTGTAGAGCTGGAAAATACCTAAAGACATCTAGTCTATCATCCTACTCTGAGACAATATCAATTATGTCTAGACAGTTCTAACCTGTTTTTAAAACCTCCAGGAACCTGTTCTAGTCTATAACTGTGCTTTTATAGTTAAGTTCTTGTTGATATAACTTTAATCTTTTTTTCCTTTGAGTTTGACAGTGAACTGTTGACAACTAATGTTTGAGTAGTTTTTAAAGCAGCTCACACCAGTTTTTAATGTAGAAAACAAGATGGGGAAAAAAATCAAATTAATAACCCCTTCCTTTTCCTTCCCAGCTTCCCCCCCCCCCCCCCCCCCCCCCCCCAACCAACACCAGTTATCAAGTCTAATTCTGGCATTTATGTACCAATTTTATGTACTGTCATACTTGAAGATGGCCTGCAAACAAAGCCAAAAAGATTTTGTGGCCTTTTAACAATGTCTAAAAGCACCTTCATTTAAAATGGTTAATGAGAACATTTGCTTGTGTTTCATTTGCATCTTGCAGAATTTGGAACTAGATGTAGAGTTTTATCAGTGGTTTGGAGTAATGAAGCTATTGCACAATGTCCTGGGTGGGAAAGAGAAACCACAAGTGGAAAAAATATATATATTGCGTAATGACTGAATTATGAAAGAATTGCAAACAACATTTATTATTTTTTAAAGATAGAGCTAAAGAAAAAGCAGTGAAGTCATATCAGTCATCTCCTGACAATGGAGCTGTGCTAGGTCTGGTAGCATGGCTACAGTTGATTGTATATGCAAAGAATTGGCATGCAGACAGTATTTATTTAAACAGTCTGGGGTAGGGGTCTTGCATTATAGGAAATTTCTCTAAAGGGGGGTGGCATGAGGGGAATTTGTTGTTGCAGTCTTTGTCCTGACCTGGAATTGAGCCAAAGTTCCAATATGTTGCTACTGCAAATTCATCATCCTTTTTGAAGAACCTCTCAGGTGATGTTAAAAAGCAAGGTCTAGTTATATTTTTACATATAATAGTGGAACTTGTGGCAATTTGGAAGCGGGGCAGGAAGAGGGGAATATCTGCCTAGGTGACCTAACAAGAGTCTTAATATGAGTAGCTGCTGTCCTACCTATTATAAAATTCCTGTTCCTTTTAATTGGCTACAGCCTATCTGAAATCTGGTAAGGAATTATTTTAGTACTGTTGATCCAAGTCATTTGCTGTATTCCTTATACTTGGGAAGATAATGATGCAAGTGATTCTACAAGTCGTCTTCTTTCATACTCTTCCCTGTAATTATTTGACTCTAAACAGGAGACTGCATTTCTATAAAAAAGGCTTTCCTCTCCCCTGCAGTGCCAGCTCTGCTGAATGCAGAGACATTTTTACCTGCCCATTTCAGTTTATTTGAGCCGCATTGGTTGTGGTATGAGGAAACTTCTTGAGACTGTCTCACCAGCATTAAAGACCTTCATGCAATTTCATCCTGGATTGTGTTCTGCTGTCATAGACAATCATATCATACAATCCCTTCCATCTTAAAACTTAAAATGCAACCACCATCTTAAAATGACTAATGTGGTGTTGTCATCGTTTGTTTTTTCTTTTTTTATCTTCTTCCTTTCTACCTTACCTTCCCACTCCCCAGTAGAAAGCTGTCCCAGACCCCCCCTTACTTTTTTGGCCACACTTTTCTGGCCAGTTTAATCCTTATTTTGTCCATGACACTATCCTTAACAAGAATCCTGTAGAAATGAGAGATTCTATAAAGCAGTTTTTAAACCTGTAGAGTTTTAAAAAGAGTTGTCTTTTCTTCAGTTTATGAACTGCCCTGTAGTACTTTGTAACAGAGAATTTTCTATGATTCAAAAAACACCCACAAAACTTTTGATGAGTTTGGATAGGGTGTTTCCAGAAGAATGTGAGTGTGCAGCATGTGCTTTATGTCCACTTTTAAAGCTGCAGGTAACATCATATGGAGAAGGAAAGGGTAAGAGCCAGTGTCTGAACTGAAGTATGAACGTACATGCAGCCTTTCCTAGCTGTGCAGTGTGTGAACCTACCTCTGTACCTTAATTCCATTACTGTGTGTCACCTGTAGTCTCTAAATTGTGTGGATGCTCTGAGGTCCCTTTAATGCACTGAAGTTTGGAGGTGGATGTTCGCAGAATGCTCAACCTGACATCCAGTAGGCTGGCTAGTACTCGGAAAAGATGAGTAGGGCAAGATTAATGCTTGTATCAGTTTTCATGTTGGAACTATGGGAATAGATCTTCAGTTTGCATGGGAGGAGGCTACCTCATGAGTCATTTTGCCAAACACTTTCAGGGAACCAGATACTCAGTACCTTCAGCACTGACATCTTTTTAATAAAGAATTTTCCCTTTTGGGGAACAATTAATATGGAACAATCCTGAATTTAAGCTTCTAAGCAAAGAAAACAATGCAAAACATGGGACTAGTCAAGTATTTTAATCTACCTTCTCAAATAAGATAACCTGACAATTTGCAAGTATTTTCCTCCTTTGTCTTTACCTCCTCCTGTCCCCTTCCCCCATGTTCAAATTTACCCATATTAATAAGTTACAGATTTGGAGCCAAATGTGTTTCCCTGACTTATGTGCATTTTTACCTTTTAATGTCAATGATGAAATTAAGCTTTTTTTTTTTTTTTAAATAGAAATTAAAAGAATGGCGAACTTGATCTGCTTCAGTCCAGTAATAAAAGAGGTTAGAAAAAAAAAGAAAAATAAAAGAAAATTATTTTCTTTTCTTTTTCTTTTTCTGTTTTTTTTTTTTTTTTTTTTTAAATGGGCCACCTTGCTTCAAGTTAACTGGTATTTTTTATCAAGATTTTACAGTCATCTCAGCTAATTAAGGATATGATTAGTAAAGTTCTTTTTGCTGTTTATTTGGCAGACAGCCTGTCCTCTGTTGTACAGTATACCTAGATGAAAACATCACTGTTAACTGGAGCAGGAGACCAGACCTTCCATTAACATTATTGCATGCTTGTACTCCTAAGGCCTTTTTCAGCCAGTAACACCATAGTACTTCCACATGCATCATTTGTCATTAAGCCCTAATGAAAACTTTGTTTCTGAAATGTTCCTGGGTCTGTCTCGAGCATGCATACATTATGTAGACTGAGGCTGGCTTGCTAAACAGAACACAAAGGAAAAAAAAACTTCCTTCAGATAAACCAGTAACCGTGAGCCCACCCCTGAGGCAAAAACTTAGGGGAAGAGAGAGTGGTTTCTGTAAGATCCTAGAAGGTAACAATAAATTGGAAGCAGAAAATGCCTAACTGGCATGTTGGTATGCCTCTTAACTAACTATAAGTCATAATTTCTCTTTGTAGACTAATACATTTTAAAAAAATTGTCAGCTAGTCACATGGTCTAACAGCGTGGTACTTCTGGGGGTGATCCCCTTTCAACTCAGATGAATTCCAGATTTCAGGGCATTCCCAGAAAATAACTATTTAGTGCTTGATTTAACTCTTTAAGGGCTGTTGGCTTGAGTGCCACAAATGACTTCATGGCACAACTGTTCAAAAGTAAATATGAAGCTGGTGCAACTGTCAGAAACAGATCTAATGCCTCCCATGGACACTACATGCAAGTTCCGAGTAGTTTTTAAATCCAACCACAACCGCAGTGTGTTGCATTATTGCATCTCTTCAGATTTGACGTGACTTAATTGCATTTGTTCATTGACTTCAGGAAAGAGTTAATTTTGTATTTTCCATGAATGGGAGTTTTGAGAAACAAACAACTTTTAGTTGAGAAGCAATTACAGATACAAATGACTATAAACTGGTATTTGGAGTTCTTGCAGGCTACTTTTGATTTTGACAGCATACTTTAATTTTAATGTGTTTTTTTTTATATATCAAGGGAAAAAGAAGGGGGGGGGCGGGACACAACAAGTGATTTATCAAGAAGACAGTTGGTTGTCAAATTTCAGCCTATGTTTAGCCTAAAGTGATAGGGTGAGTGGAGAGAGAGAGAGAAAGAAAGTCAGCTGGGAGGACTCAACCTTTGAACAGGGACGTCATTCTTTCGTACCTGGCTTGATTTCTAAAGGCATGTCTGTAGCACACACTAATTGGTCAATCATGCCAGCAAGAAAATAAGTCCCACCCAGCCATTCCTAATGTGCATACATCAACTCCAGAAATGAGGCATTGAGGATACCCTGGAGATAGTCTTGGCACCAAGTTTAAAACCTGGGTTCTGTAATGTTTGAGTACCTGCTTGAGGCAGCCTTTGGAGGAAGAGCGCCCCTTTCCTCCTACCCACCTCTGCGCCACCATCCCAGGGTTGAGATATGCCAGCCAAGAGAGGATAACAGATTTTATTTCCTCAGTGGAACAAATGAGCAGAGTTAGTCTGTGAAGAGAAATTACCACATAGTGGTCTTGTCCACACTTTAAAATTGCACCAAAGCTAGCTATACCAGCAGACCCTCTTAGTGAGCAGGGGTACATGTTGGCTGGCATGGCTTATGCCAGCTTCCTGAGTAAGAGAAGGTGGGGTGGTGAATCGGCTTATAGCACAGGCGATGGGTATGGGCGGGGGGCACATGCCCCCCCTGAGATTGGCCCCCGACTTGGCACTGCTCGGAACGGGGCAGTTTTTTTGTCGCGCAGGCTGGCAGCGTGTTGCAGGGCAGAAGTATAGGAGTTGATATGGGGCTTTTGGCCTGCTCCCGGGCCTGCCCGCAAATTGTGCCCCCCCAGACTCGAGAGACACCAGTCACCCCTGGCTCATAGGCAACTAATGCTGCTTCTGGAATTCTCATTTAGAAAAATATTGCGTTGGAGTGATCCACACAGTCTGCTTTGTTATAGCACTGTGTTTGGATTGACTTTCTGATTTTATTGGTCATGAGGATTTTTGTTTTACATGCAATGTTTTACTTGTTCAAGCTGACAGTCAATAAATGCAACTCCATTTCCTTTGGGAACACAGTCTGCCTTTCAGAGCAGCATAAGAAGTGCCATTTTGGCTCTAGAAGCCAGCTTATAATGTTATCTTCATAGTATATTTTTTTTAAAAGTGTCTTGCATATCACTTACATATTTCTTCTCAAATACGATTAATTTGCATGCTCACTTTGAAATTTGTAGAACTATAGATAGTTGCCATTTCCAGAGATGGAAATATTACTACAGTTCATTGTTGTCCGTAGCTATTGTG